TATACACGATGACATTTCCAGACGAGAGATGGGCTATGAAACCCCTTGCGGGGTTGATGGAAGGTATGAATCACATGCCAGCGGTATGGTGCAAGCTGACTTGTCTAGGAACTTCTCTGGAGGGCAGAGCCAGCGGTTGTCAATTGCGCGGCTGTTACTCCGAAGGCCAAGCATTGTTTTGGTGGATGAAGGTACCAGCTTTCAGGATGTAATCACTGAAAGCCTCATCAAGAAAAGTTTTTCGAAAAATCTCGGAGGAAGAACGATGGTCATTGCGGGGTAAGCGACCTTACACTCCATAATAGTCAGTCCCACTCTAACCACAACAGGCACCGGAGCTCCTCAATCATGGATGCAGAGGAGATTATCGTCCTCGGAAAGAAAGGATCCATCCTACAGAGAGGCAGTCATGATGAACTCTTGGCGTTGAAGGGCGGGAAATACTGGGAATACTGGCAAAATCATCTTGGAAAGTAGACCCAGAATAGAACGAAACAATGGTATACGGTACAGTACGATGGCTCCAGCACTTCCTTGAGTAGTTGCTCCGAGGTGTTTATGCCCTCAGTCCTGGGCCAACAAAACCGTGGGACGAATGAACGCTAGTCCCAGCAGATTCACATGAATGGTCAGCTAGGAGATTCATCATTTTATTCGTTTCTACTTCGATCTTTTTGAGCTTAAAGCTTTGGTTGAGTGCAGGTGCGTAGTTTTCCATTGTCAGGACGTTGAGATGAGCTTAGAGACAGCCAGTCTTTGACTTACCCGGGCAATGGGTGAACAACTGGCAGACGTATCTTTGGTGAGTCTCATGGATGGAAGAACGGAGGGGCCTGATAACTATGACATCTTCTCTCTGATATGTCTACTTTTGTTTGATATCACATTACTCTTTCGTCCGCGGAGAAAGAATTTTGACAAGTGTGGTGAATTCAGATTCAGTGAGTGTTAAGAGAGCTAGGTGTATTGCAACAACCCTCTCGTTGGCACTTGCAACGCGTCGACAATCTGCTTGGACCGGATTCGCAGACTCCGCTCCGGCTGTAGCATCCGTGACACGAGTCCTTCGACAAGGTCGTCACGATCCAGCGTCTTTCTGGGTTTGTCAACGATTTTAAGTTATGCTATCATCTGTCCTTAAGCGTCACACGGTGAGGTCGAAGAATGGGCGGGTTCCCGTCACCAGTTGAAGGCATCGGAGTGAGAGCGATTCGGTGCTGGTAAGCCATGAAATCCAGTACCTTGTATCCCACGTGCTTGTTCATGTCACCGAGCCACGGCTGGCGAAGATTTTCACGGCGAGTATTGGTCTTCAAAATGGCGGGGCAAGCTTCCTGCAGCCTTGAACCGGACACGTCGATTTTTAGAAGCTGGCGTGTCCTAGCTCCCGCTTCGAGCTTTTTGCGTATATGATATTGGACGCCCTTGATTTGACTGTCCAGGTCCAACCAGTCAAGTTTCCTTGCTCGTCGCTGTCCTCAAACCTCGGAGTGCCTCCACGAGCGGAAGACGTTGGAGACGTGCCGAGATATAAGTGCGGGATTAAGTTCTTGGTATCGCCCAGGATTTCTAATCGACTGACAGCCCTTCAAATTTCGATGTTGGTATCCCATCACATATCGAATTGTTCTGTTTGCTCATCAATCCAGCTGGCAGAGTGATCGGTGATGGCAAGAATTTTCACTTGCGCTACCCCAAGTCGCTAGTGAGGCTGCGATTTGAGCTGTGATCATCCTCCGTTTGCTGCGGGAGAATAACTGAGAAGGATACTACGTCTAGAAAGGATATTCTGAGTTTGATTGTTCCTGTGTAAAGCTATGTATCCTGAAGTTCCGCCATCTGGAACACATCCTGACTTCCTCAATGTGCAGGCTCTGGAGATACGCAAAGCATTCCTGAGTGGCGTGGCGAACCTCCATTCTCAACATGAATGACTCAATCATTTCCTGGGGTAAATCTTGGAGTAGTGGTATGAGTACCACCAATCCACTGAGTCCCGAAAATTCATCTCGATCAAATAGATGTTTTGATCGTGGACAGGCCGTGATAGTTCGAAGGAGACGACGTACGTACCATACCTATCAGCAGATATTCCACACCAAACGCTAGCGCACCCAAGAAGTCTGATTGGTACTCCTAAGCAATCAAGACGGACCTGACCCAGGCATGCTTCATGGCCATCGATATAGTGAAGAAGTAGGCCGATGATCCTGGTCCGTCCACCCATACTGCGCACACACGGTAGTATATCCTCCACGCCATCCAAAGAAGCTGTCGAGTAGAACCAAGGGGTTTGTAAAGTTGATATCGGGATCTTGTACGTTGGCTGTGGAAGGCTGATGGAATGGCTTGACGCCGTCTCTGGGCTTGGACTCTCGAATGCTACATTACGTATTCCGACAGGCGATTTTTCGATGAAAATTCGGGTCTCCACGTCCTGAGGTAGCACATCTATTAGAGCAAGCCGCGTCCGTGGCTGCATACTCAGATGCGGACCAAAGACCAGAGTTCGGCCGTGGCTTGTTCTGAACTATACACATGTCAGTGCAAGTTTTCTCATAGATGATAGCACGTACGAGCAATGCTAAATCTAGCCTTTCGGAACCACGAATCCAGACTTCGACTACTTTTTCATTGCGGTACAATGGAAAATAGAGCCAAATACCATTGTCTCGATTTTGATACGTCGAAAGCTCTTCCTTCAGGGTGTGTGTATGAATCGACATGATTCGCGTATCCCAGTGGACGGAATATGCAACTATGCTTGGGTTGTTGCACAACACTGCAGACATTTTGGTTGCTTCAGGCGACCTCTCAAGTTGAACCATACGAGGCATTTTAGGTGGGGCAATAGCCCACAGCACATTTGTCAGTTGCTGTTGTTTCAACGTCGCATCTTTTGGAACGAAACAGCGGAGTTTTGGGCCCTACATAGTGTTAGTGGTATCTAAGTAGCAGGCTCAAGAAGCTACCTTATTCTGAGCCACAAGTGTGGGCGAACTCTCAAGATCCATGGCTCGCCACCAAAGATCTCGGCAATTCTCTACGGTCGGAGTGGAACCACCGCAAAATGATATCAACCTGACACCGAAATAGTCCTCCGCAAGATAAATAGTCGTGACTGTCGACATAGATTTGGGTACGTACATGAGCTGAGTGTGGCAATCATCGTTGTTGTTGCTTAGCGACGACAAGTACGAGCTGCCTTCGAAATCCGTGAAATGACCCCATATCTTGGATGATAGTTGGATCGAGGACTCTCCACTGGGCACAGCGCGAAGGGCTCTGGCGCATTCCACTGCGTAACTCCGAAGGCACAGACCAGCAATTAAAGAACATAGCTCGCGGGGCAGTCGCACCAAGACTTTGTCTAACAAGACAGACAGCTTGTGGTGAAGCCAACTTCTTCGGTCGTCTTTCTCGTGAGCCGTAGGCTCGTACTCGAATGCCAATACCTCAATGGCTTCCGTGACAGGCCAAGGGGTTATCTGATTGGCACATTCAACATGACAGCCTGTTGTTTTCCCGTCCAGGTGTGAGCAGTCTCCAACACAAGTGATATATCTCGACTTCTGTAAATCAACCATGATCCGCTCATACACCATCTCCTCGGAACTCTGGCCAGCCTTCACTATTGTCAAGTCAGAGAGGCAGTGGCTAGAGATTGAACCAGGCTCACCGATGATGATAAGCTCTCCATCGTGAAGCCTAAACCTGCACAAACCACATCGTGGTGTGATGCAAAAAGTGCTCATAGCAGCAAGGACATGGAACCGTAGGAGGGGTGGTCGGGAATTGTAGTTCAAGTTCTTTTGCGGAAAAAACTCAGGTGTGCAGTCTCAAGGTTTATAATGCCACTGGGCATGTGCCATTGGGCATGTCTTAGATGACTCAGCATTTGACATTTGCATGCCTAGGCCCGGAAGATCATTGTTCAAGCCGCCGGGTGGTAAGTGCCTCAGGTAGGAAATCAGGCACTAAATCTCAATCGCGTTCTGCGAGCATGGGAACATTGTTAGATAATGTTAGATAAACGATGTTGATTTAATGCAATACCACTGAGGTTATTGATTAAAGAGTGATTGTTGTGCTTGATTGAGGGATTCCGTCCCATCCCGGTCCAAGCGGGGTTCTGTCTTATATTTACCCATTATCACCGGTTCTTGTATATTATTTAACGAATTTCTAGTATCCCTTTATCCAGATATAGTCGTTAATCCAACAAACATAGCCATACCTGTGACTAATGTTTGTTCATCCCGAGCCTTTATTTAGAACCTTCGTCACCTCGCCGTGGGACACAATGTAGACGCAGAAAGGGAAATACGTATTGATTTGGTCTTGAGGGCCTAACTAATCTGCATACACAAGCCATATAGACGACACTGAGAGGAAGAATAGACACGATTAAAAGTCTCAATGTCTTTCCATGTTTCGTGGCTTGTAGCCCCAGTACTTTCTGTCGGCTTTCCAGGTCCACACTTCTCCATCCCGAGTGCGTTGCTTATCCCAGTCCTTAAGCTCGGTAATGTGAGATCTGCCTTTCTTATGCTTTTTGAAGATGAACTTATCGCTACTGAAAGTATGCGGTTCATAGACGATCTCAATCCGATGGGCATTGGAAGAAGTTGTGCGTCGACTCTGACTCGCCCCTTGGGCCTGAGAAGGACCGGCTCCAGCTTCTGGGTCCGTTTCTTCAGGCTCCGGCTCCGAAAGTTGTCCTTGCTCCGTGTCAACTAGCATTTCATCTTCTTCATAGCCCTGGAAGTTTGCGTCAGAGGTCTCGTTTGGCAGATCGTTTGCCGACTGATCCAGATCTTGTGCGAACTGGTTGAGCTGACTCTGTGCCAGCGGGTCCAGCTGGTCCTGGTCTGATACTGCCGTGGGTAGGATCGGCATACCGTTTTTGACTTGATCGTAGTAACTCTCTAGCAAATTTCCGTTGTCGGTATTCAGGTCGACGTATGCACTGCGTCCTTTGCGGGACCCAGATTGAGGGCCGTTGTCCAGAGGCAAGAGGCTTAAGTTGACTGGGTCTACCCACCAAAAGCGGAAGCACAAGGAACGCTCAATCCCGATAACTGTCTGTACGAAGAGGCCGAGAAGGCTATACTGCGCGATAGACGCCCGAGCATTCGCTAGTGCTTGGTCCTCAACCTCTCGTGATGAACCACCTCCTCCTTTGATCTCCACCAACAATCGCGGAATGAGCGATCCAGGTGAACTGTACAAAGGGCTGTAGTCGTAGATGAGCACATCAATTCGGAAGTTCCTGCGCGCTCCTGCGTCCGGAGGCTGCTCAAATGTTGGGCAGAAATTGTTTTCGATTCTAAAGCAAAGTATGACAAGGTTTTGTAACAGAGCAGCAGCTCCGTACTCGATGGGATCATGCCTCCATTTTTCGTAGAGCCCTGAAAGTGGTGGGTAAGTCAACATACCCACTTCCTGGCACCCCCCTGTTTCTGGCACCCACAAAAACGCGAAAATCCACCACAACCCAATGCCCACCCCCAACCTCCTTTTATCACAACATTTTCAATTCGCGTCCAAATGGGCTCATCTTTTGCACATGTCTTCTTCTATATATAATGCCTCAATATACCGAAGATCAGCTTCGTCAGGCTCTCGAGGA